CTGTGTTCATTCTACTATATCTTCATGTTTAGATAAACTATAGATATATGTTTGAGGCCAAAATGAACTATAAAATATAGTGAAATTATAGTTATTCCAACTATTTTTTTCTCTCAGTGTACATTGAGGGAAAAACGTATGATACTTGGAACTATAATGGCATAGTAAAAAGATTATAGTTAGGAATATAATTTTTATAGTAAATGTTACCATAATATTTGTAATATTTACAATATTAGCATAGTATAACTGACCCGTGTAAAATTTTTACCAAGAATTATAATTATTTGAAATAAAAAATATTGAATGGTAAGAAAAATTAACTATTTTATATAGTCAATACAATTGGAATATTTGGCAAATATAGGTACATGTAACTATATTCCCAAAAGGTGTTTTACCATATATATAGTAATAAGATGGTGACTATAAATCTGTGTTCATTCTACTATATCTTCATGTTTAGATAAACTATAGATATATGTTTGAGGCCAAAATGAACTATAAAATATAGTGAAATTATAGTTATTCCAACTATTTTTTTCTCTCAGTGTACATTGAGGGAAAAACGTATGATACTTGGAACTATAATGGCATAGTAAAAAGATTATAGTTAGGAATATTATTTTTATAGTAAATTTCAGTCTAATGTTTGTAATATTTACAATATAAGCATAGTATAACTGACCCATCTAAAACTTTTACCAAGAATTATAATCATTTGAAATAAAAAATATAGTAAGGTTGCAAATATTGAATGGTAAGAGAAATTAACTATTTTGTATAGTCAATACAATTAGAATATTTGGAAAATATAGGTATATGTAACTATATTTCCAAAGTGTGCTTTATTATATATATATATAGAGTAATAAGATAGTGACTATAAATCTGTGTTCATTCTACTATATCTTCATGTTTAGATGAACTGTAAATATATGTTTGAGGCCAAAACGAACTATAAAATATAGTGAGATTATAGTTATTCTAATTATTTTTTTTCTCAGTATAGTATTTTTCACGCTGGTTTTTACTATTTTTTATCTGCAGTATTTTTATACTAAATTAAAAGTACAAATAGATCTTTTTTTATTATTCTGGACTTTCCAGTAATGATTTTTAGAGTTTCAAGAGAAAATTGAGTTCCTTTTTATGTACAGAGATATAAAATTACCGTTTAAAGTTACGATTACTTAAAGTAAAATTACGGTAAGACGGTAATTTATTGGTACTTTTTCCTGTCGCATAAGTTAAATTATGCAACTTATAGTATTCTTCACGCTGTTTTTTTACTATTTTTTACATGCAATATTTTTATACTGAATTAAAAAATGCAAACAAATCTTTGTTTAATATTCTGGGCTTTCCAGTAATGATTTTTAGAGAAAATTGATTTTCTCTTTATGTACAGACAGAGTATAAAATTATCGTCAGATTCAAGGTGACGATTACTTACAGTAAAATTACGGTGAGACGATAATTGATTGATAATTTCGATCAAATTCGTTGTTTCTGATAGTTTCATGCATAGATACGCTGTATTTATATTTCCCGCGCCAATGCACAAAATACAAAACAATATTCTTCTTATATTCTCATTAAATGTATATCTGTCAAGTGTCTTTCGAATGAAAGAGAAGAGACTATTTACAATTCTTCGACGGTATTAAAATTTCTATTTCTTAAAATACTACTAAAAATTTGCAATCATATATCAAGATCCAGTGAAACGACGGAAACAGCAGTCAATATGTTAATCGTTCCTTTTTCCATTCTTTAATTTCCCGTTCTTTCCCGTCGGAAAAATCGCTAGCCTCGCGAAAGTAGAATTTCTGTGAAGGCGAGCAATTTCATTTAATTTTAATAAAAGCCTCTCTTTTACGAGATACGAGCACCGGTTGCGCGAATCTCGTCACTTTGGTAACGTGTCAAATATGTCCTCTCCGGAGGAATCAGTGCTACGAGGAGCTCCTCGACTCCTCGCCCATCTCGTCGCATCGATCATGTCGCATAGAGCCCCGCTCGTGAGTTCTGTCGTTTTTCGAGAGCGGCTCTCTCTCTCTCTCTCTCTCTCTCGCTCTCGTGCGCGCGGAAAGGAGCAAATCGAGAACAACGGACTAACTTGAAGCACGTAAATGGAATACGTCAATGCTGGAAGAAGGATGACGTCGCCGTGATATCTATTTTATTCGGGGACAGTTCATTATTTCGCGGCGCAAAATGGTGTCTCACCGGTCCGTTACCTCTCGTCTCACATCAATTTGACGAACGGACGAGCGAGCGAACGAACGAACGGACAGACGTCATTTTTAAAGGTGCATAGTCTAACGGTGTGTTCGATAAAAAGAGTCTAAATCACACTTCATCTCCTTCAACGCGAGACACGTAGAGCGCATTTCTCTCCCTCTCCCACCCTTCGAGCGGCATTAACGGCGCGTTAACGGTCAGTGGCGCCGCTCTCTACCGCGCGTATCGTCGTCGCTCATGAACTTCGTGCCGGCTCGCCGATAATGGCGCGCGGTTTCCCCGTGATACTCACCAGCGAGCAATTGCAAGGAGCCAAGGATCCTCGTGTGCTTGGGCGTCTTCAGGATGTGCGGCAGGAACGACGAGGCCGCCGCCAAGAGTGTGAGGGCGCCGATCACTGCGACCGCGACGCCGATCCCCATCGTGACCGTGCTTGCTTGCCACCAGGCGCTCGGTATGTCCCAAAAGCTGCCGTGAAATGAGAACATCACTGCTATAAGTCTCCCCGCATCGACCGGCAGTTCGTGACGTGAATTGAAACGTAATTACCGACGTTTAATCGGGCAGAAGAGAAAAAATGCGAGGTTTGAATTTTTCTCGTTTCAGAGACGCGAAAAGAATCCGGAAGGAAGTTTCTTGGGATCTAATTGGGATCCAGTCCGACTCGTAACGATCATGGATTCTACTTAGAAGTATAATAATACTTCAAACGTACGATTGTAAGTGGGAAATTCAAAGTTTTCCCAATGGAAAACTTTCTGATCAGCAATTTACATTGGAATGAGACATGTCATATGTTGACTTTCTAAATCACTATTCAATGTTCAATAAAACCAGGGTTGGGAAGTAACGCGTTACTTGTAACGACGTTACTATTTCGTTACTTTTTTTTGGTAACGATTTGGTAACGCCGTTACTTTTTTGTATCAGTAACGAAAAAGTAACGGCGTTACATTTTCTTTAGTAACGAGTAACGAAATTCATCGTTACTTATATCGTTACTTTTTTCTATGATGGCTTCTGTACACAGAACGCGGCAACGCTTGCCACGTGATGAAAGTTTGCACATGATAAACAATTAATGTGCTGCTTTCCGTAAAGCCCATTCTACAATAAGCAATAAATCTTAAGTCATAATAAAATTGACCAATCATAGTCGACTATTAGAAGAATAATCCACTGTAATTGGTCAATTTTATTGCGACTTAAAATTTATTGCTTATTGTAGAAAGCCTCTAAAGCATGATCTACAATGAGAACTTAAGTCATAAAATTTAAGCTTTAATCTCTAAGTCGTAAGAAATTATTTTTCTTATAATTGACTGTGATTGGTCAACTTCTTACGGCTTAGGATTTAAAGCTTAAATTTTATGGCTTAAGTTCTCATTGTAGACCACACTTAAGGGGCGTCGCACACGAATTGACATAACAGTAACGTAAGACGTACCGTAAGAACTGACCAATCACTTTGAGTATCGTCGAACCGTAAGGTCGCCATTTTTGTGAATACTCGATTGTAATTGGTCCATTTTTACGGTACGTCTTACGTTACTGTTATGTCAATTCGTGTGCGGCGCCCCTAAAGCCCATTCTACATTAGTCGCAATCGCAAGACCGCAAGGAAATTGTACCAATCATAATTGATTATTCTTCGATTGCAAGAAGAACAATCGATTATGATTAGTCAATTTCTTTGCGACCTTGCGACTTGCGACTAATGTAGAATAGGCTTTATGTCGTTATGCAATAATGTGTGCTTCCCGCTTAAATATCTTATATTTTGTCTTTATATATGTATAATTTATGTACTGTCTCTTCTACTATTCGTTTTATATGCCGATTTTAACTTTTTTTTTTACAAAAGTAACGGAAAGTAACGATTTTTTTATCGTTACTTTTCAAATAACGGTAACGCGTTACTTTTTAGAATCAGTAACGAGTAACGGTAACGAGTTACTTTTTACCGCAAGTAACGGTAGGTAACGTGTTATTTTTAAAAAGTAACGTTCCCAACCCTGAATAAAACTCAAAGTACTTAAAATTTTTTTTTCATTTTATTGAATGCAATAGTTAGTATAAAAACGTTATTCTCTGTTTTATACTATAATAGTATACCAACTGAAAGAAGAAGTGCGAGTTGCCACAGTATTTGTGCTTTTTCTAGACAGAAATCATCTCATTTTGAAACAGGAATGAGATTTCTAATTGGTATGATAGAGTGGGATAACCAACTCTGTGGAAGAAATCTAGTCGGTACTCTAGTCGGCATCCATGCTGTATGTAAGAAAATATTATGGAATTTCTATACGAGAAGCGTTCGCGATTTCGGCAATCGGCTGGACGTCGCACGAGTGGTGGTGTGAAACGACCACTCCGACACTCTTGCGCGGGCTTTATCGAATATTAAGGGGGCAGGGATGCATGGGGGTTTGTTCGAAAATTATTTTTTAATCACTAATCATTACTCATTTAATCCCCGTGTGTCTTAATCGATGACGTCCACGCAAGAATGCCGAGAGCCGACAGAGTGCTGGCTGCTGGAAGTCTCACTCTGTTCGCGATATTTTTAACATAATGCCGTGTTATATAATCGCAATACGCACAGTGGCCCGGACAGTTATTGGACCAAAAGAGAATATCATTTCACTAGTGTAGCGGACGAACAAACGATTTGAATGATGCGGAAACTTCAATCGGCGCGCGTTGTGTTTATCGGTTAATTTAGTGAAATGATAATATTATACGCGCACTTGTACTCGCATTCCCTCCGTGTTAATCAATAATAACGAGCACAACTCGTGCGACGAAATTAGCGCGAATTCATTGATTGTCACTTCAAGCAAAACGGGCGAGTGTACGTATAGTGTATGTATGAGCATGTGAGTGTGTATATACGTATGTGTGTGTGTGTGTGTGTGTGTGTATGTGTGTGTGTATGTGTGTGTGTGTGTGTGTGTGTGTGTGTGTGTGTGTGTGTGTGTGTGTATATATATATATATATATATATATATATATATATATATATAATTAAATTCCTGTGTAATATTATCATAGGAATAAATTTAAACGCGAAATCATATCACTCGCGCCACGTAGATAACGAATTAAAATTTCACCGATGAAATTCAGCAAAGTCGGGCTCGATCGCGTCGCTGTCGGAATTTTTCGGACAGGGCTCGGATATGAGCGAAAATTCGCGTAATTTCGCGTCGTTATTAACAACGGCTTATCAGGCTTATGCGATATATTTTGAATCGCGCGGGCAAGGCTCGCCGAGGGGAGCGTCGCATGCGCGATCTCCGCCGCGTAAACAATCACATTAGATGCAAACGAACTTGATTCCGCAACAGAAATTCCCGAAACAAATGCTACGTTGAATATTTCGAACGAGGAGTCGGCTGGCTCGCGCGAAATCGCTCTGTGCCGGGGAAAAAAAAAAGAAAAAAAGAAGAAACGAAGGGGGTTGACGCGGGAGGATATGGACACGGCGGGGCACGTAACTACGCAGAATATTTTTCGTTCTATGCAAATATTTTCCACGGGAGATATCTCCCGCCGCGTAAAATATCGTATTATCTGTTTTCAGTTTTCCGAACTTCCGACTCGTTAAATACGGCCGAACGCAATATTTTTCGCTGCGCGCACGCATTCTGACGTAAAATATTATATAGTTTTCGACCTTCTGCTGCCGGCGCAAAACACAAAAAATGGAATATCAATCGCCGCGAGCGCGCTGCACAGTTAAACGCTTCTGGCCGCCCGTCGTGCATTTTTGAAACTGTCGCCTCGATCTGCTATTCATATCGAGCAGCACGGCAGATCGAACGGCTTCGATCGCTCTTCGCGCCGGTGATCCCGTATGTGCTTCTTCGTTTGTCGAAAATGCACGCTCGCGACGCGATTAAATAGCGACGGAAACGACCCAAAGTATCAGCCGACGACACGATAATACGCGAATCGCGGTCGTTAGAAGAGAGGAGTATTTGTCGCCGTAGAGTGTCGCGAACGCGGTTATCCCCCAACGATTTTCCGGCGGTGTCTCTCTTTTTTCTTGCCAAAGTTTCTCGCTAAACGATCGGTGTCGATGATTTTTCAAGTTACGTTAACTCCACGTTATCCAGGGCTAACGTTTATGGGCCTATCGTGAACGCAAATGGAACTATCGGGTTATGCTGGCTTGTCGAGTGAGCGAGAGAGAAGCAGGGAGGGGAAGAGAGAGAGAGAGAGTGAGAAAGAGGAGAGGGAAAAAGAGAGAGAGCGAGAGTGACCCAACTATTAGCACTTATCGTGCCCGAGCCGCTTACAGAAGCGCGCGTTTCGCGTACGATTACGCTATCGGCCGTATTCGGGCCAATCGGGAAATCGCTCTCGTCATCTGGTATTCGCTATTTCTGGATATTAAGGGACTCAAACAGATATAATCGTCGCGGACGCGCACTTCGGTGACAGGCACGCGAAGATGATTTCAAAACGACATCAGATTCGTCTAAGAATCCTTTGTTGATATTAAGAGCGAGAAATCGCATATGAAAAAAACAAGGTTGAATTCATCTGACAATGAACACGTTTTGATCCGCGGAAACAATAATTTCTAGGTCTTAAAACCGAATTTGATTCATAAGAATCAGAAATAAACTTCTTACATGAGAAGAAAATTGTACTGAACAAATTATAAAATTTATAGAATTTTGTAACCGAGGAATAGATCGACATTCTACAGTAGATTATTATCAGTAAGTTATTATGCAGTAAATAATATTAAGAATTTGCTTGGTTCTTTAGTAAGATGAATTTTACTGGCAGTCGGTTTTTGCACTATTATAAACATAGAGTACAATGAAAAAACATTTACATGAGAAAAAGAAATTATTCTCTCCGTGTAGAAATTCTTATGAACCAAATTCGGTTCTAAGAACTAGGAATTCTATTTTCTTCAACTAATACGCGTTTGACGTATTCACTGTCTGGTTGATTCAATCAAATTTTTCTTTGTGTAGAATATTTCAGGTAGAATCCCGTTTGGGTCGACACAGTTTGGTCGACGCTCGTTTCGATAATAATTAAATAAAGACAGTAAAATTAGTCACAGTTTCTAGATAATTATTATCGATTTTTAACCACATTTCCAAGTCAATTCTTATATTCTTATTTCCAATAGTTGTTTCATCTTTAATTGCTAATATAATGTTTCGAGATCGTTTCCCAATCCTATTCAATAGAATTAACTAGTTCTATCACAACATAATGTTCTTATGAATTGCTCAACAGTTATTATCGGATATGAAGCTTGAATAGTAAAAACTGAATACATTGAGAGAAAAAATGGTTGATCTAAATTTTTAGTTATTTTTAGCCTCAACTATATTTTTTATAATAAAATAGTAGCAGTAATAAGCATATAAGATTATCATTACCAACATTATAATAGAATTTAATAAAAAAACTTCTTAATCATAATTTATAATAAT